TAAACAGTTTCTAAAGGACAGCCTTATCTTTTTACTGACAGGGCCTCAATAGTCACACCGCACAGCAGTGGGGTTCCTTTTCTAAAGATTAGTGCAACACTCCATAATCGTATGCACACACAGCTATAGGTCCTCGGTGCCAGCACAGGAAACTAAAAGATGACGTGACGTGTCACTCACACCCCATGTGTGGTAGTGTGTGGTTGACCTGCTAAGAAGCTGGACTAGAAACACGTTCAGTGGTGGAGTTAACCCTGATATCAGATCGGTGGATTTCTGCTGTTTTAACCTAGACAAGTGCAGAGTCTGTGTGTGTGTGTCTCTGTGTGTGTGTGTAATGTATTAAGCTACTGGTGCCTGCAAACTCATATTCCCATTAAAAGTCTGACCCCAGCTGTGAGAGAAAGCCATGTGTGTGCGTTCATGTGTGTGTTTGGGTCAGCAGGTGACCAAATGTGTTTTGGTGAGCCTATCAGTACAATGCCTTTTATGCCTGAAGCGTTTCTCTGCAGTCTCTTATTACAGTGTCATGTGTGTCTGAGTGTGTGTGCCTGTTTGTGTGTGTGAGACAGAGAGAGGCTGATTCCACACACACCCACAGAAGCAGCGTGAAATGTGTTGTGATGTCTCCGCTATGGGAAGCTGTTTTGAGACCACAGAGGAGACGCTCCCCTTCTCTGACCTGCTCAAACTCATTGTCTTGCTGTGACACACGAGCGCGCGCGCACACACACACGCACACACACACTGATTGCTAATTTTTTTTACCTCCATCCTTATGTCTTCTGTCTTCCAGCCGCTGCTTGTAAATGTTCTGAAACATTAGGTCCTCTGAGTTCATTGGTGGTTTACGATTTTGAATCAGTGCCTATCCTCTGGCTGAACGTGTTCCAGCAGCGTGTGAATCATTAGTAAAGGCTGCAGAAAATGCTTTCAGATCAGCAGTGAGTACGCCCCTGCATATCGCTTGATGCTGAATAAGTCACACCTGTATCACTTCTCAAAACTTGCTGTTTTTTAGTTGATCAGCAGACATTTCCTCCAATGAACAGTCACTGAAACTCTGAACTTACTAAGAACATGAAACCACATCCTTTAGTCAAATAAATATTTTTTGGGTTCACATGGGTTTAAGCAGGTTAGCCACAAGCTTTAAACTATGAATCCAAATGCATGAATGCAAAGTCCCAAAAGTGAAGTACAGAAGCAGCGTGAGTGTGATGATACAGGGATCCATTAGTGCAAGAAGTGTTGGGGAGATAACATTTATAAATGGCACAATGAATATCTGTGGATATACCAAAATAATGACTGAGGGGGTGACTTCCACTCTAGAAAAACCAGGCAAAGGAGGGTTTTTAAATGCTTGGACTGTTTCCCTATTGGACGCCTACTAGGGGTTTCTTTTCTGATGTGAGTGGCTTCTGTCATATTTTGGGCCTGCTTCCTGAACAAAATGACTTTGTGTGCATCAGAAGTTAGTGAGGTTGATCTCCTACACAGTTTACTGGGACTAAAACCCAAAACCTGTTCTAATGTCTGTCAAAGCACATCTTTTCTACTTTAGTTGAGCACTCAAAGCTATTTATACAACATTCCCCCAATAACAAAAGCACTTTTTTCTACCCCAGAGCTTCCTACCTAACATTCACACACATTTATGCTCTGATGGTATTGGAGAGGAACTTGGGGTTCAGTATCTTGCCCAAGGATAGTTTGGCACATTGGTTATTTGATTTGATTAGCCTAACTTAAAACCTTAGTAAATGACCTGCTCTACTTCCTGAGCTGCAGCCACCCCAGTTGAGCGACCTCTGTAGTACGAACCTGTTGCAGTGCTGCATCTCATAGTACCATCCACATACAAGTAACTCTCAAAAGTTCTAATCTTGATTTTTTGGCTGATTAGAAACGTACTAATATTAATATCGTCAATCCTTAAACCTGTGAACTTTTAATATTAGGCTTAACTTCAAAGTAACTGACAGACCATCACAGTGCCACGTGATTAAGACAGTTTGGAAGAGAGGAATCTACAGTAATGCAAAAGAGGAAGAACAATTGAAATCTAACACAGAGTCCTGATGTGGAATGATTGTACAGTAGCACTTGGGATTAGACGTGATTAAATCCGCTGTTGAAACGATAAGGGCTTTTTTCTGTATGTTCCACAGCTGAAATATAGGTCACACAGAGCCAAGCAGAGATACAGAGTTGATGCACACACATGTGCAGCAGTGTTCTGTTCCCTACAAAGAAAGCGCGTGCACAAAATCCAACTACCACCACCACCTCCATCACCACTTTACCCGTCTCCCAGGGCAACAATAGCAGAATCTACCAAGAGGCATGTTGAGAATGAAGGAGAGGAGAGGGGAGGAGAGGAGCAGGAGGAGGAAGGAAAAGAGAGAATGAAAGAACAGGGAGATGGACACAAAAGACAACCCAATCTACCAAGACTTATTCTAATAAGCTGCTAGGAGGAGGATACTATAGGGGTAATCCCTGCTGTGGGACACCCGTCTATGGGCGAGTGTGGATAATATGGCTACCGTCTGATGGATACAGATAATGGAGTACATGCTCAGACAGTCATATCTGGCCTTGGCATGTGTAAAAGAATGATGTCTGGTTTATTTACATACAAACTACTGCCTAAACTCTATGTGACAAACGCATGTTCGCTTGTAGGTTTTCATGCAGTGTCCTCCTTCAGTGTTGCACACATGAAATTTAAGTAATTCCTGCTTCCAATTTGTTCAGAAACCAAATTATACAATCGACTTAGCCAATAACCCTCCAAGCTCGAGGAAACATTGATGTTTGGGATAAGTTCTCCATAATAAACTGTTTAAATCTCATGCAGGGAAACTGAGAATAACTAGTCCCATGTCCACACAATTTTACACAGTATCATTTTTTTTGTATTCTTTGGCTAATTTGCCATAAAAGAAATCATGTTAAATTACCAAAGAGCACTAAAAGGGTTCTTTGTGAATAAAAGTGTGTTAAAAGATGCCTGTACCCTGTTTAGCCTATCCCACCATCATAAGTGACAGAAAAGTTTATTATTTGGCTTCGCTGGGTTTATTCTTCCCACAATTGTGCTGTAGACCTTCTCCATGCTGCCCCCCACTCTACAAAATTACTTGCTTCTATTTTCCTTATCATAGCTGCCCTACAGCATCCTGTTCCTCCCAATCATATCTGCCCCTCCTCCCCCCCTTCAACCACCACCTCCCTCTCTATATAGGGCTCATGCTGGGTGGGGTGGCAGCAGTGGCAGTGCTGGCATCTGTTCGAACGGCTGGTGCGTTGCCAGCCACCGAGCATCACTCTGGCAGCCAGAGTCACACTGTTGGATTTATCTCCAACCTGTCAGCTGATGCTTTTTGTGGGCGTTAAGCTGGGCGGGCATAACCTTTTTTCTTTTCTTTTTTTTTGGGTGGGATGGGGCATTCACACTGCCAAAGTGGCCACAAGAGACTTGGGGGTGGGTGCAGAAGTGAGAGAAGTGAGTGGCTTTTTATTTAAAAAAAAAAAAAAAAAAAATCACTTCCAGCACAAGCTGAGGGCTGAAGCTCTCAAAGAATAGAGCATAAAGCTGTTAGGAAGGGAGAGCGCAAGCAAGGGATGAAGAGTATATAAGGCACAGTGAGAGGGGCTTGAAAAAGTAGATAAAAGGTAGAGTCTGAGCAGGAGAACAGATCAAGAGAGTGACAGGGAGCCCAGGAGGAAATCAAACCCACACCTGAAGCTTACAGGAGCACATTTCTGGTGCATACAGAGCAGCTCAGTTGAAAGGTCATTCTGTCACCTTGTGGCTTAAGTACCATTCTAATGCTTTTTAAAAAAAAACAAAACCCAACCCATACTCAATTAAAAAGTAAACCCAACCTGTTAGACTGAAGCGGAGCTCATTAAAATCCAATTCAGCTACCGTCGAGTATTGCCCACTAAATGTCCAATAATACCAATCAGTCTCCGCAGTCAGCGACACGCGCCTGTAAATGTCACGGCATTCCTGCATGAAACTCTCGAGACAATCAGCAGCAACCGGCGTGCCAGAGGACGGAGTCATGCGCTCGGTGTGCTGGTCCCTGCCATCAGTGAAGAATCAATTGGCCGCTAATGGAACCATTCGAGCAATTAGTACCATGACAAATTCATAAGCGATGATTAGTAAAGTTGGTTGTCAGTGCAATTTCCTGATAGGATCCAGTTCAGAAGCATAAGCTACCAACCCCCATTCCCCTTCCCTAACATAACACTAATACAATAACCGAAGGCCAGAAAAGCAGAAAATTAGTGGTTAGCCCCATCAAAGAGCCCGAGTACTTCAGAAGAGCCGGCATTACTCAGCATTTAGATCTCATGTAACATAACCCTGAAATGCTATCGCTCCCTTTCACATAGGACTCCATCTGTGAAACCATGCTAGATGAATTATGAGACTGTAAAACGCTGAGAACTGATAACCAGACTGACATTATCTCCACACAGCCAGAGAAAAATTAAAAAAAGAAATCATCTTTTGAAAAAAAGAAAATCTGCTCATGTCAGAGGTTTGCTTAGTAAAAAAATTCCTGTGGCCATGTGACTTTGATCCAGGATCAACAGTTTCTGCGCTCTATTGTGTAGAACAACTGAATGGGAGATTCCAGAGGGGCCCCAAGCAAAATGATTAGGAGCCAACTCTTAGTATAACTTCATTCATTCCAAAGTTATATTTGGAATTTAATCGGTTATCTACAGCATCCACCATTATCCATTCATGTGCATGTCTTGTTCTGGAAAAAAACAAGACATGCACTCCAGACTGCAGTATTTAGACACTGAAGCCTGCCGCTGAAAATCCAGAGTTCATCCAAAGGCGCCTGCTCCTATGGAAGCAGGAACGCAACTATATGTCACGGCAGGTTCAAACTCCAGGAAGCAGCGAGCAAAGGAATTATTGTGTTTAGTCAGCCAACACAAAAGACTCTGTACGGGCTACTTACGACAATTCTCCTCATCGCTGCTGTCGGGGCAGTCATCATCTCCATCACATCTCCACACGATCGGGACGCACGCTCCGCTCTTGCATTGAAACTGCCCGGTCTCACACTCTGACTGCGTGTGAGTTCCTGTGTTTTGAGGGAAATATTTTTTAAAAAAAAGAAAGAAAGAAAGACAAACTGTCTGTCACTTTCATTTCATTTAGAGATCACATTATGAATTTCACAGGAGTGAATCAGAGAAACAAAAATGCAACAAATTACAAACAAGTTTGGGAGGTTAACTGACAAACTTTCATTTGTTACTAATGAAAGTGGGAAATTGGTAAAGTTGCCCCAATTAATAATGTTGCTGCTGTAATCAAGTAATAATTCAAGTGTTTTTTAAATGCCAACTATCCCTTTTTCCACCATGACTGTAATGGGCATGCTGTTGTTTATGTACCACTATGCCACCTTTGGTTAACTTAGGTTGCTGCCGAAGTTCCTGCTGGCACTTAAACATTCAGACCAATTTCAGGCTATTTCATCTGTTCAAAATGTTAGCTCCAATTACAAAGAATGCATCCAATGCACACCATTACAATCTCCACTCAGCGACCACATCACCACTGACAGCCTTTTTCCATCTTCCAGCATCAGCTAGAGAGCATGTGCTGCCCTTTATTTCATTCATTGTCACCTCCTACCGCCGTTAATAGCAGTCCAAATGCGGACATAAGTATGTACGCACGATGCACACAGCACATTATCTCGGCACTTAAGAAGACGCCGATCGCACTGACAGACAACTCGTTTGTTTTGTTTTGTTTTTCAAACAGGCAACCCAGATCCCCTGAGAAAGCGTTGCCAGTGTCCGCGCTGCGATGCAAATTCACCCCTCTATACCTCGAAACAAGTCCCCTACCTTTAGCGCAATGGAGGTCCAGGAGTAACAGATGTAATAGCACGAGCTTTCCGACCTCTGTCCACATCGTTAGATCCTGGGGGGCTCCGCGGTTGTCCGCATGTAAGTAAAATTTCCTCCCCACCCACCCCAAAAAAAAAAAAAAAAAAAAAAAAAAGACAGCGTGAAGAATCTCCAGCGAGTGACTCGCTCCGTGCTGCTCTGCCAGCCTGTCTGCTCGGAGTGTGTGAGTGTGCTCAGCCCGGCTTGCTGCTTTCTCTCCCTCTGCCTCGGCTGCAATTTGAATCACTGACGCTTATGGGCGGGATAGTTTCAGCGTGTGATGGTGCCTGCGGTTAAAGTAGTAGGTAGGAAAAAAAACTACGTGGTTGGCTGCTAGCCAGAGGAGACACATCTGCAGAAAGAGCTGAGTCACAGTCATTTTTCTTTTATTTCCTATTGAGCATTTTAGTAGCAAACCGAAAGTAAACTGCTAAATAAATAGTTCTGACTTCCTCATCTTGAGTTAGCTGGAATGATATATTTGCCGGTAAGCTAGTCAAAGGCTTAAAAATGTAGCCAAAATTAAGGAAATGTAACAAGCAAGAGGAAGTTGCCCACCTCCGTGAAACAACGGAAACCCCAGACAGGTTCTCTGAAACGTGGTTCACTTTTTCTGGAAGTGGGTGTGTACTGTAATGCAGACCGTCTTTTTTCACTAGTCCTAACCCGGTAGTTTTGTGGTCTTAACCTAGCGGTTTTTTCATTGGTGTATCAGCAGGTGAAAATACAAAGGTGGCTGAATATAAGAGTTTAAGGGCTGCTGCGCAAAAACTGGAAACAAAGAACGTTCCTCAGTGACTATACAAATCCCTGTAAAATGATAATGTCCTTAAAGGTACAAAAAGGCATTTTATTTATGTTGTTCAACAGAAAAAAATGATGTTGTGCTCATAAATATTCACTGTTTAGTGTGTAATTATGTCTTCCAGTCACTTGATGTGTTCTCATGAACTTAGAATTTAATCCATTAAACAGAAGCGGGCGCCAGTTTGTGAAAGCCGCTCTGTTGTCACACCATCTTCAATACAGTGGCTGAGATGGACGTTGAAATTCTGCCTAATCACGTTTAATGTATGTGGCTAGAAAATACTCGTAACTTGTCCACATTTACTGATATCCTCTTCCTACTCACCTCAAACCTCATCTCCTGACTGAAGTCAGGGCTCTAACACACACTTACTGTCAATTATTTTCAGCACTTATTGTCAGAAGTTGCTGTTTATGAGATTATAACATTATGCCAATTTACGCAGGGTTTGAGGTTCTAAAAAAATACATCACACAGTCGAAATAGTTTGAATGAATGTTTATTCTCTAAGTGTTCAAGTCCAAAATGTTAGATCCATCTCAAAGAAAGTTTCACATCAGTTTCAGATCCGAGGTCACATTATTTTTTAGGCCGGACTCGTTGTCTTTTGTTCTTCACTAGTCCTATTTCGTCAGATGTTTTAAGGACATGCTAAACACCATGTCACATAGCTCTTTAGGACTTACTCTGTAAGTGCAAAAATACTATTTTATACCAGTCAAACTGTGTTATCCTTGGCATTTTTCATAGGTGCCACCAACAAAAATGGGGGGAAAAAAGTATATGTTTTAGCAACAGGCGCTTAGTAACAAAGTGCTTAAACAAAAATGTCTTAAAAAACATACATCTCAAAATGGTCAGGTACAAGGACTGGACCAGAAATGAGTGAAAAAGCAGATAATGTCCAAAGAAAAACGTTGAAAGACTTTCAGAAAGCTTAGAGAACTGTTGCAACCTCTTCAAAAATACGAAGGAGTGACTCAAAACATTTGCACAGTACTATATTTATTACTTTCTACTTCACTTGAAGGACACATAAGCAGTTGGCGGCCTTGTAGCTTAGCGGTGTAAAAGTCTGTATAGTCACAACTAAATGGAGGGCACATGGACGGTGGTTCAAAGACTTTAAACAGATGATAGCATTGGGTTGTATACTCACAGATACAGAAACCAGTGTAACGCTTGGCAAATACGTTTATTACCAGAGATGCCATAATATTCTTTTAAGACAACCTTGAATCACACAGTTGCTGATAGCTGCTCATGGCCATTTTTGGCTCTCCAAATCCCCTTAAATGTTCACTTTGTGCAGAGCCTCACCTCTTTATATCATTTATAATTGAGGGGATCAGTTGTTATTCCTAGAATTTGGCTCAACCTGAATACACAGTGCAGAGCAACATGCTGACAACATAATAAGTACCTGACAGCTAAATGAGAAGGCATATTGGTAATGTAAATCACACTGTTGTCCCAAACAGTCATGAGGTTGTCTTGAAAAACTGACCTTTGGCTAAATAACTGGAGAAACTGAGACCTTTTTCAGGAATAAGGACTCCCGTGTGCTCAAATCATATTCTGCTCCTACAAGCCAGAAACTGGTCACAATGAAATGTTCACTGAGCAGCACTCATTATTTGTTTTGTTCTCCATCAAGTTTTTCTTTTCAGTGTACTACCACATGGCGGGACTCGAGTGAGCACCAGATGAAAATTCATGTGAAAGCAAGCATGTTCAGTGGAATCACCACGTATTCATATAGTCTTCTCTCCAACACGGTGTGAAATAAAGCCGTGTTGTCTTTGCTCTGTAAATGTCCTTTTTAAAGTTTGTCAGCAGCATCCGAAATGGCCATTGTAATCCAGTGATAAATGTAAAAGATAACATTAGAAGTCCTCGTGTAATTTTCCCACATACATCTAATTTTCATGCATTGTGTTGCTATGGGAAACAATATAAGCTAGCTAATAAATGGGAACACCACTGGCAAATAATGTTTTATTCACTGGCAAATGCCGCAAGCTGGAGCTGTTTTTTAATGCTTTCCAGTGCATTTAGCAAGGTTTATTTTGGTTCCTCATCTTCTAAAGTAAGCTTGTTAAACAGTTGAGTAACTGCCGTGCTTTCATTTTAAAAAATTGTAAGCGATATGTGTCATATGTTTTGTTGAAATATGAGGCTGGTGGATTTTTAGCTGTCTGGAAGAATCATAGTGAATAGTTTAAGAATAAAACAAAGTTTGGGGTATGTAGAGTCATATCAGTAGAGATACTTAAAGCCAGAAAAGTGACCTTAAATCTTGAACTGAATGAAAAGTGTGTGCATTGAAAGGGAACAGCTGGGTCTGCACTGCTGTTCTATGCAGCAAGAGTTCCGTTTTGATTTTCTGCAGTTCAGCATGGCTCATGTGCATGAAATGACTTTAACACATGAATCAACACATGAATAATGAATAAAACTACTGTATAAATAGAAGGGGAGGAAAAAAATACAACTCGTGCCTCTTATACATTATTCAATAAAAAAAAGAGTGTGAATGAAACATTAAAAAGCTAGCACAGGTGCAGAAAATGGTTAAAAGGGGGGGTGGATGTTTGGCATCACTTTCACATTAACTGCTAGCGGTGTTTGTTGTTCCTCGGGGGAAAGAGTACACCACAAAAGCAAATGCATATGTTATTGCTACAGGAGACATACCAGAACAGCTAGAGAAACTCAAGAAAACTTAAACTCTTATAGTATACAAATTGGGGTTTTTTAAACTGTGCGTGTCTGGTTTTAGATCCTCTGAGTTTTTTGCACATGTTTGACTTTTCATGTACATGTGATGCCATTTTGAAACTCAGAGGATAACACCGTGTCTGCTGCACCTGTGGCATAGCCCCACAGTACTGGTGAACGTGAATATCAGCGAATTAAAAGGTCACATGCATAAAATAACCAACTTCATGAATTATTGCAAGTGAGCAGCAATCTGCAGGAAGAAAAATCAGCTGCATTAGAGGGAGAGGCTTTGAGATTGGCTAAAAGTACATAAAAAACTTTCTGCCAGTAGTATCTCATTGGAATCGGTTAAAATCGTATTTTTTGTGCATTGCCAACAGTGAGCTCAAGCTAATAATAATTCTTGGCATTTGACGATACAGTCTGCAGCCTAGTTGATTTTTTTTTCTTTATATGAACAATTGATCAAATGAGTGCATTCGCTCCGCTGTGCTGTGAAAGTTCTCACCACTGTAACACCTGCAGATTATTATTACTCAGCTCTGTAGTTTCATTCAACTCTACAAAAGCTTTTCGCTGGTTTCATAGCTTTACTGTTTTGAGTTATTCTCTCCACTCTCATTAGTGCCATTTTTCAGATGTAGCTGCCAAAAGCCTTCTTCACAAAATCCCCCCAAAATCCCACGTTCAAAACCAACAACAGAGGATTTAGCATTCAAAGAGGCAGAGGCACACAAAGTTAAAGGTGAGTATTGGCTATTTCGTCTGCAGGCCTTTAAAATGATCCCAGAGATTCCAGGTATGTCTGTGCAGTGGGAACTTGGACATCATTTTCAGAAAAATGAATTAAATTCTTTGAACTGCTCAACTGGGATAAACGCTGATTAATGAAAGAGGTTCTCAGACATTGTGATGAGATTCCTTTGCGTCGAGTCACATTCACCCGCTGAAGTGGAGAAGGTCGTTGATTTCATCGGGCAGCAGCAGGTCTACCTTAATGAAGAGAGAGTGCGATACGGAGGGCATGCTAGCAGCCTGCCATTGAATGTCTGAGGTGAGACCATGCAGCAGGGCAGTTCCACTGCAGTATCATGCTGTCATGTTTCGACACTATATTTAACAATTTCGGATTTCTTCACCCCCCCTTGAGGTCGATGCTGAAATCGTGTTCATCTTTCATCCCTGCACACACAGCTGGAGCTAACGTGTGCATTCATCTTTGCCAGAGGGTGGTGAGTGAGTCCGACTCAGACCTTCAGACCTTTAAGAAGATTGCTTTCCTCCTCTGTCTCTTTGCCCATCTCTCTGCCTCTCTTTGCCTGCGCTCACTCTAACCATGCTCGCTTTCTCTTCCTCTGTTTTTCGTTCCCACCGTTCTTCTTTCATTTTCTGTCCTTTCTTTCTTCCCTTTTTCTCTTTTCTACACTGCACCCACTCTCTGGCACGAGACAGATAGTGCTGTCGGAGGAAGCCAACAGATCCGGTGGTCAGCAAATCTTGTGTGTTTCCCGCGGAGCATCAATGTGTGTGCTTGCATGTGTGTGTGTGTGTGTGTGTGGCACAGTACTGGATATGGGACAGGAGAGTCATCTGCTTTCCTGTCACAGCTTGTGACCCAAAAACCACAAGTGAGGTCTGGTCGATAGCTGGCCAGGTGCCTGCTGCAGGCGGAGAGGCGAGAGATGAGATTTTGACGTCATTTCATCATCAGACAATATAGCAGAAAAGGTTAGGAAGCTTGCTTTAATGTGCTCTGTTAGAGGATATGTATTATTGATTTTTGAATCCATATTTATGATGCTGTTTCTATGTATTTTCTTGGATTTAAAAAAATGAAATCAAGAACTAGCTCCTTTCAGTGATATCAAACTTAAAGCACTGTTTTTCCCTTTATCCTCTACAAATTTCTCATCGTCAATATTACTATTACTATTTAAATATCTATATTTCTAAACCATGCTATTTGAAAATGGAATGAAAAGCACTGTTTAAAAGTGATGTGCATCACCAGAGACAG